GACAGATAACATTCTGTATATGAATGCTACTGCTTTGAAACTAATGCCAATGTGCAGGAGATTGTTCCACATGACATGTGGGGCACATGGTACACATTTAGTCACTGAGGAAGTGCATACTAAGAACAGCATTCTGAATGTACTATGTAATTTACTAGAGATGCCTTCATCTCAGGGATGAAGGCATTTCATACTCCATTTATATTTAACAAAGAAAGTTAAGTAGGGCTGTCTTATTTAGCAGAAGACTTAGCCCTGTTTTGAAGTTGAAAGAAGAGTTTAGTAAAGTGAGAAAAAGATGGAAGATGAAAGTTAGAAGGATAGGACAGTGTGAAAAAGAAGAGTATCATGGCACCCCCATGGAACCCCAGGGGCATCTGCTTCTGNTCTCATGCTGAAGAGATGATCATTTATCAAGGAAAATTTGGACATTCATATTCACCTCATGTTCAATTTAGCTGATCTATAGGATTCAGACAAAGATATATAGTAAAAGTAGTATATTGAGAATCAGGTAAATCAATAAAAATGCAAAGAAAATTTGTATGCTGAATGCAAATGTAATTTAAAAACAACAATAAATTATGCAGAATAAAGCAAAAAATTTCTCGTAAAGCATAATACAACAGGATTTTTATTTTTTAAAACAGATTGTGGGTTGCCTTAATAATTGTCACTTAAATTGGTACCATTAAAATATGACAATATATTTGAGGAAGTTCCTTCTGCTGCTACTAGGCATATTTTGTTTTTCACATTTCAAGTGATTTTTAATATCCAAATGCCTGCTATGAGTTACTGAAAATTTGGAAAAGCACATTTCACTTTGTCAATACGATCACACACTTTTTCAAAACAGATAATCCTTTTTTAATTCATCAGTAAACAGTTTTTTTTCGCATTTTGGAGATTAAATTAATTTAATGTACAGTACAAACTAATCGCAAATGCTGACTAGCAATTTGAACTCAACTAAGATAGGATGTGCAACAATGACATGGCCAGAATAAGTTTGTGTTGCCAACTCTAATTGAAACAAAATATCAAAAAAATGAAATAAAAATATCTGGATCTCATAGGCTACATGCTATTATAAATTCTGTGAAAAAAATATCTGAATAAAAAAATAAAATGTCTGAATTCATTAGGCTACATGCTATAAATTTTTGGGGGAATATCTATACAACATTAAAAGTACTTAGATCTAGATACAAAATATTCAGATTATGATAATAGTGAGTGTAACCAAGGAGATATTTTAGTTGTCAAATCGTCATTTTACCCAAGGCTACACTATTTTTACTTCTTGTATATTTGGCACTTTTAAAATTTTACCAAATAACCAGGACAAAATGACAAACTGGCTGGGACACAGGGATCAAATCATCAACAGTCTTGATCAAGGCAGGACATCTGGTAAGCCTACTAGAAACCTAGTTAATGATGAAAGTAATGTATCTTTGATCAGATAAAGAAGGTTCACTAATCATTCTGCCACCTAAATGAGAGGAAGCTAAGATGAGGTCCAGAATTTCCATATGTCTGGAACTTACATAAGGGGTTTATTACCTTGATTTAAGATTGCCAGGTATGTACCACCAAAAACTTAAAAAGATTATTTCCTCTGGGATTGTTATTCCTGCATCTCCAAATACTGTTGTGTATATTTACATCTCAATCAGTTAGAAGAGGAAGGTGATAAGTGGTAGAAAACCCTATCACAGATTTGACCTGGCCAGATGGGGGAGGTTCAGTAGAATCATAAGGAAGATGGGCAAAGGAGACTAAAATCTTTTGCCTAACAACGTTAACATCAACCATTTTGTGTACAACAACTAGGTCTCTCATCCAGAGATCTGAATTAGGGAATACTCAAATCCATTTACTAACAAAAATGCAAGTACATAGATCCTTGTCAGATCAGTGGTAATAAAAAATGCCACTTAAGTTAGACAAGCCCTTTTAACTTGACCTCTGAAGACCCAGGACTCCTGGTCTTTGGGAGGCAAGTTAGTACTAGGTATTTTGTATGGGGGAAAAAGCTCCATGGCCTAGATTTTCCTGTTTCAGCTTAACGAAAACAGAAATGTGGTGATATGTTTCTAACATTCTGTCTATAGCATTTTAAAATCTGTAGGTATGGGAGATGTGCATGTCCACTGTCATAGTCAACAAAAACAGCAAGAAACATTTGAAACACCTATATGTGCAGCCAGTAGCCTAAGAACTCCAGTGACTGGTTAAAAGTTAATTTCATCATGACATCGTGCATATTAAATGATCATTGTAAAGATCAAAGTAAAATCTTGTCATAGAGATCAATGTAAATTGACAGCAATCATAAACTTGATTGACATGTAGTGTGCAACAAGCTTACAACTGACAACTTGCCCATAGACTTTACATGGAGAAATTTGGCCTAGAATATTTCAGCCCATAGGTCAAATTTCAAAATTCTGGTAATGTCAAGACATTGTTCTTGCATAGTTGTACATATTTGCAGAAAATCATGTTTAATGGTTGTGTGGTTGCTTTGAACTTCAATCACGGACTTTGACCTATGAAGAGCTCTGCTCAATTAGGGCAATACTCTCTCCATTACACAGCAGCTCAAACATCATATTAGTGAGAGCACAACATGTTATGATGGCGTTCCCTATGAGCTAGTAGCAGTAGACTTGCTACTAAGCTCATACCAAAAGCAGCCAGTTATCCTATTGGAAAACCTCCAACAGACACCTCATACATTTTTAGATACAAAAACCATGTGCATTTGAACACAGGAGAAATATACAGTTGATGTCTACAGAATCTCCAATGCAGATGAAAAGCTGAGTACAATGGGGTGTCATCTGGTGCTCCAAGGGGATTATTTATAGTATCCATTATATTATCCAGGTACCTTCCAATCCTTTGCACATTGTCTCCCACCTTGGAATTGGTTGATGTCCTTCTTAGTTGGACCCAAACACAGCACTCAGATGAGAAAATACATTGAGGCATTGCAACACAGATCACCATACTCCTACCACAACAAAGTGGAGACATGATGGGAGATCCTATAGCTATAGTTATTTACATCAGATTTCTATTTCAGCAGTGAGTGGTTTTATTGCTTAGCTTTGTGACATATTGTGATTTTTCAGATCATGGTAACAACTTCTAAATATTATTCAAAGCTAACCAAATTATACCAAAATTATTATTTTTCATAATGGAACAGATTCAAAACATGTTCAATCTAACTTTTCAAAACTAGAAAATAAGGACATCCTAATATATATTGGATTGTTTGGAAAGTTTATAGCATTTTTGACAAGTAGCATTATTATCTGAGTTTTTGTGTTTTATTTTTCTTGTACCCTTGTGTAAGATAAAGGTGTTATTTTTAAGCATTATTTGAAAGAAAAAGTATAGAAATTAGTCAAGTTGTGTTTGTTTAATAATAGTTAAAAGATGGAGAACAATAAAGTGTATTTCTGATAATAATGGTTTTCTACTATTGCAAGAGTAAAAATGCACAAACCCCCAAAAAAAAGATATGTGCTGTTTATGGAGATTATGCTGTTGGTGCAAGAAGTTGCTATGATGCTTGGGTACTGCTTGACTTAACAGAAAAACATTTGGAGTGTATCAGTATATGATTTGCTCTTAAAATGAAATGAAAATGAACTTGTTTTCAAGTGGATAATTACAGATGAAAAGTGGATTTTATACAAAAATGTAAAATGAAAAAGATTTTGGGGGAAATGAGATGAGCAGCCAACTATCCACTCCAAAAGCCAGATTACATTCAAAGAAAGTTATTCTGTGTATTGTGGGATTGGAAGGAGATTGTTGTTATGAACTTCTGGCAAATAACGAAACACTTAATTCAGATAAATATTGCTCCCAATTAGACTGATTAAATGAAGCAGTTAAACAAACATGCTGGGATTTGATCAATCAGAAAGGAGTCATTTTTCAACAGAACAATGCTAGATTGCATATGTCAATGAGGAGCCAGCAAAAGTTACTTGAGCTTGAATGGGAGGTATTACCTTATCTACTTATTCACTGGACATAACACCATCTGGCTATCATTTGTTTCAGTGATTGGCAACCATTGATGGTTTGTGAGAAAATTTGGGTTGTCCATAGAGAAATTTGGACATTTATTAACTGAAGGTTACACAAAGTATTATGAAAGAAATGCAAAATACTTAATTGTTTTTTTCATTCATTGGGGTTTTTTTTTTATTCAAATCTAAAACCAAATACAAAGTGACTGTTATCAATAAATAATGAACAATAAACAATATTGTGAGTGTGATTGTCATCCTTTGTGTTAAAGTGCTAAGAATCCATAAACTTATTTCAAACAAACAGCAATGAACTTTAGGCTTGCATTAATTTGTTATAATTAATCAAGTGAGTTTCATATTAATATAGTAAAATTGAACTTTTATGATCATTATTCTACAGATTTTGTATCATTTAAAAAAGTTCATAATAGTGATCTGCGGGATTCAAAATTGTGAGTTTAGTGGTCCTTAAGGTCAGAAAGGTTGCAGACCACTGATTTGTTTGTCTTTACAAAACTTCTTTAATGAAAAAAAAATTAATATACTAGAGGCATTCAAAAACAAATTTGAAGAATTGTTGTCAAGATAAGATAAAAAAGTTTTTGAAAAAGGCATCAGGAAGCTATCCAATAGATGACAGTTGAAACAAATGGTATAAATATTATTTAATGAAGAAACGTATTGCTTTGAATTTTTGTCAATTTTCTCTACAAACTTTCTGAACAACCCAATATAAGCATATATACGTTTTATCTATTTTTTCACTTTATGTCTAGCTCTTTCAAATCATTATTATCTGCCATTTTAATGATAATTATTGGTTTATTCACAAAGCAATGACATAATGTTTAACTAGTGCAATAAACTTTTAAAAAATTTTCTTAAATATGAAGTTGTTTTTATATGCTATATTTATAATATGTATTTTATTTCTAGATTTCAAGGAAGTGAAACTTGTACTGAATTATTATTACAGTATTTTGGTAATGATATCATTCATTTAAAAGATAATAAAGGAAGGTAAGAGAAATTTAAATTGTTTTCTTAATTTTATCTAATCATTTTGCTAACAATAATAATGTTAAGATTTGTTTAGCTAATTATATCAATAACTAAAAACTGTGCCAAATTAATGTTAAATTTAATGATTAGAATTTTTAAAAAAAATCACATTTTTTAAGGAATTTGTTGATAATCATTTACTGTTATAAAAAATATTTGAAAATAATCTTGAAATTTATTACAAATTTCAAGACAACAATCATGAAAAAGTTCATGATGTATTTGTTTGATTAACTATTATAGAGTGAATAGTAATTAATAGTATAGTCAAGAGGTACTTTCACAAAACTTGCAAATGTGAATAAATTTTTAAAATAAACTTTTAAATTCTATTTCAGAATAAAAATAAAAAAATAAGAATTTAAATAATGATTGTTAAATTAAATATGTTTTTGCATCTAATTTCTTATTTGCATTCACAGATTAGAAATATTAGGAGGATTCAAAATGTTTTTGTTTACAAACAATAAATCAGTAACCAATGCACAAAGCTAAAAATTTTATCATGGGCATTCAGGCACTTACCCCACTGCTTGACAAGATCAAAGATACCTTATAGGTAAAGTTCCTATGATTGGTGTTTGAACCATTGCAAAATGAACTCTATCTGCAGCATCCAGTCCAAATAGTGACCTTTCATTCAACAGTACAATTCAAATAAAGAAAAATTATTTTTTATTTGAATTGTATTAATTGTGATCTGAAAATTAAATAAAATATTTCAAAAAGCATTTAATCATGAATAAATCTCAGGACTCCTAAAAGATAAAGTATGAATGCATGGTTTCTGTCTGTTCTTGCAGCATAAATGATATTCCCAATATATAAAATTTTTTAGAATCATTTACAACTATTATGTTTGGTTCTTTTTATCTTTAATATTTCTATCAATCTTTCAAAATTTCTGTAATTGCTTATAATTATAAGCAGGAAGATTGTTTCTTGTTTGTAAATATTGATAAGTTCTTACATTTTTACAGATCAAATATTTTCTAAATAGATATTCTATAATAATAATAATAATAGTAACAACATACAGATATAATAAGTGATATCTAACACCATATCTATAGAATAATATTTTTTCAAGATATATACTTTTCAACATTTAACATCAATGACTGCCAGTTGGATGGTCAAGGTGTCAGTCTATTGCTCTGGAGATCCGGGATTAAACCTGGATGAGCAAAGGACCCAAGAATTTTTCATGTGTGTTATGTCCCAGATATTTCAGGCCCTGTGTCTCACCCCTAACCACTTCAATGTGAGCTTGAAAAAATGTCCTCTTAGTGTCCAGATGAGAAACAGAGTAAAATGGAAAAAAAGATAGATGTAATTAAATGTATAGAAAAAATTAGAATTAGAATAGTATTAGAATAGTATTTTGTTGAAAGCAGATGTGCTTTCTTCTATTTTTTTTAGGATGCATTTCCTGTGTTTTGATAAATATAAGTTTATTATAATATACAAAATGCTCATGTTCATTCATATATTTCTTTTATATAGTTTTAAAATTTATTTTTTCAAATTAAAATTTAAATTTGAGTGCTAACTGCATTTAGATGAATGAATGTAAAACAATATCTGAAAATTTGAAATGATTCATAAATTCAAAAGAATTGTATTGTATTGAATTAAATTCATTTGTAATACAGTTATTTAACTTGATTTTATGTAGAACATCTCTTCATGTTGCTGCATATAATGACAGTTTATTATGTCTTCAAATTTTACTGAAAAGAGGAGCAGTTGTTGATTCTAAAGACAATTTTGGTAGAACTCCATTGATGATGGCTTCTATAAATGGTCATTGTAAAACAATAGGTGAGAATTGAGTTTGGTAAGCTTAGAAGTAAGTGGATATTTACAGAAATATAAAAAATAATTAAATATAAATATTACTGTTATTTATAGAATTGTTATTGGAACATAATAGCGATGCATTAATTCAAGATGATAAAGGAAATACTGCTTTGCATCATGCATGTTTACAAGTATGTTTTATTCTATTATATATATATATATTTTGATAATTTTTTTAAAAACCAAATGAATTATTTTTGAGTGATGTATGTAGTTTGTGAGAAGACTTCATGATAAATTATTAGGGCCTGAAATTATTTTTATTTGTATAAATTGCTGCATATATGTATGCATAGATTATAAATATTCATCTTCAATGAATAAAGATTTCTGATTTCTATATACAGTAGTGTTTGCTTATAATGAACCTGTACAGATTGTCAGAACTGGTTCATTATAACCAATGTTCATTATATTGGATAAGAAATAAAACAGTATAATTTTGAAAATCTAAAGTATAATGTCTCAAAGATAAAATGTAACAAATTATTATATAGGAAGTTGTCCATTAAAACATCAATAAATGCACACAGTTACTTAAACTTATTTTCGTTTGTTGATTTTTGCTAGTTGCATAGCAAACTGTAATATACAATTCCACCTGAGAAAAACTATTTAAAATATTTTGTGGAGTATTATGCATTTGTAACAACTCTCGAATAACAATAATTTTTTTCAGAACTTCAGAAATTGGCATTATCGGAACGTTGACACCATCTGTTTATGTTGTATAGACATCTTCATCCTTACTAATTTCATTATTTTTGGAATACACTGAAGCTATATCATCATAATTGGTCAAAAGTTTCCTATTGATTACAATTTTGAAAAATAGGGTTGATGACAGTGTTGTCAGAAAATGCATTTGGTAACTGCAGAAGAAGCACATCTTGAACATCATTTGTTTCATCATTTGTAAGTTTACTTTTCAAAAGCTTGTTGATTGGAATGTTGTCATCTGAATCAAACTCGTCTCTATTAGTTTGTAGAAAGCCAGTGTGATGAAAACAATTTGCTATTGTTTACATTGATACATTTTGCTATGTAATATAGACAAAGTTTATTGCAACAAGATTTATAGAATATGATTCTTTGCTATTACCTATGGAAGTTACCATTTTTGAAAGGAGAATTCACTGATAACTGCTCTTTAAGCTATGTATAATAACTCCTTGATCTAAAGATTGTAGTTTTGAACTTATATTGGGCAGCTTGAACTCTAGTGTAATGCAATGTAAATTGCACTGGCAGTTATCAGTCAACAATAAAATTTTTTGTTTCTTTTTTCTCAGTTTTTCATTCCATTCTTGCAGTTCACCACAGAAAATGTCAGAGATTATCCACGCTTTTCAGTTAGATTTGTAGTTTACTAGTACAGTAGAGCATCGATTATCTGATCCCCGATTAACCGTCACCTCGGTTAACCGACCGCATTCTGGTCGGCAAATTCAAATGTCCGCTAGTGATGTGGCGCTACAATATTTGGCTATGTCTTGGCTACTTTAATATTATTTTTGCGTGTTTTAGCTGGCAACACTGGATTGACCATGAAAGGGAGCCAGTATTTAAATGAGGCTTAATTTTTTAATTTTTAACGATACAATAGTGACGATTATTATTTTTAAAAAAAAATTTGATAGGCTTAACATGGAGGAAAATTCAATGCAAAGTAGGTTAATAGCAATATACTAATTACATGGGATATAACAATATACTACACTAATAAATGGATTTTTTCATACTTTTCGGTTATCCGACTTTTCAATTATCCGACCAACCCCAGTCCCCAATTGATTCGGATAATCGATGCTCTACTGTAGTTGATTTTTGAAACATCCTGGATTTTTCAATTTAGTGATTACTATTAACAATTTTCTCTTTTCCATTCCCACAAGATTTGCTGCTAGTAGAATAGTAATTCTTTCTTTAGATAATTTTCCTCCTGCACAGCTTTCTCGATTGAATTTTAGTGTTCTATTTGGTAGCTTATAAAAAAAAGACTTGATTCATCTACATTAAAGATATCACAATCTTGGAAAGTTTTTCCAATTTTTGACCACTTATTTTGTAATACATCCATGTTTACTGCAGCTGCTTCTCCAACAATTTTTTGGCTTTCAATACTATGTCTTTTTTTTAAATCTCTTGATCCAACTTCTACTGCATTTAAAGTCTGTACTCTTTTCCAATTTGCTTCCTAACTCTTCTGCTTTTGACTACAATATAGCACCACTAATAGTTATGTTTTAAAATTTTATTATTTATTTCTATTATTTTATTCCTGTTCAGAAAACCATTTTAACAATCCTTGATTTGATTCATCGTGTGCTGATTTTCTAAGCTTTTTAACATTCGAATTATCACATTTGAAACTCATGAGTATTTTGACTTTTTCCTTCCAAATGATAGCAAGTGTAGAGTTAGTTATATTCATTTCTTTACATAATTCGTTTTGCTTTACAACCTTTCCAACCTTTTAATAATTGCATATTTAGTCTGTAATGTATATGAGTTATTTTTCTGTTTACATTGATTAGAAAGTAGTCATATTTCACAAGAATGTATGTACAGTATTTTGTAATTTTGACTTGGCAAATGGCAAGAGTCGAGAAGCCTCAAGATTATGCGCTGTTCATTATTCTTTATAACCAATGTCAGTGAATGAAATTTTTGTAACCAATAATAACATAAATTTTAAATTTTGTGATGGTTTGGTTTTGAAATTCAAATTTGAAATACTGTATTTACAATTGAGATTTCTAGTCAATCAAAAGCATATTTTCAATTTTCAAATGTTAAATGGGTTGGAAATCAAACAAAATTATTTAACTGTTAATAACAGATCAGAAATAACATTTAAAATTTAAGTTACATTACTAGCAAATGAAAATCCTTGACAGTGTAAATTTCATTGTTAATGGGTTGGTAGATGAACCCACAGAAAATACTTTAGTGTAGTAATAAAACTGGTACAGAGAGAGTATAAAAATTTAAATTAGTGATGAGAAATTAGTTAAATAAATATGTGTGCATTGAAATTAGTTACAGTAATTAAAAACAAAAATACCTAAATTAAGCAACATTTCCCATATTAGGTCATTTTAGGTCATGACCCCTTACATTTTGTTTACTCCTTTCATGTCACTTCCATTATGTTACAGGAAAAAGTTTTTATTTAAAAACTCTACTAATAACTTGAGAGTATTTTTTGTACTCATAATCTGTTATAAAGCAATAACTTCCATTTTTTAAAATCCAAATATTGTTCATTACATATGGAAGTTCATTATATATGGATTTGTTGTAGCAAAAAAAAAAAAAAAAAAAAAAAAAAAAAAAAAAAAAAAAAAAAAAAAAAAAAAAAAAAAAAAAAAAAAAAAAAAAAAAAAAAAAAAAAAAAAAAAAAAAAAAAAAAAAAAAAAAAAAAAAAAAAAAAAAAAAAAAAAAAAAAAAAAAAAAAAAAAAAAAAAAAAAAAAAAAAAAAAAAAAAAAAAAAAAAAAAAAAAAAAAAAAAAAAAAAAAAAAAAAAAAAAAAAAAAAAAAAAAAAAAAAAAAAAAAAAAAAAAAAAAAAAAAAAAAAAAAAAAAAANTTTGAAATTTACTATTGTTAAGTTTTTTAAAATGCATTGTTTGTTTATTTAACATAAAGTTTAATGTTTATGGAAAGTTTAATGAAAAGTTTGTTTTTGGGGAAAAAAGTTCATGCATATGCATGCATGCATGCATGCACAATTTACTAACATGATAGCATAGTATCATTAAACTTTGAGAAACTTAATTTTGACATTTCTTTTTAATATTCTGTTTAGATAAAATCAAGAACATCACCAGATAAGTTAAATACATGGCATATTATGCTTTGTGATTTTTGGAAGGTTATCACTGCCATATAAATAGTAAAAGAAATTTCTAAATTGTATGAGAAAGATTCTAATAAATTTTGGACATGTCAAAGTTTAGTGTTCCCAACTTCAAGAAGATTGAGAACCATGGTGGTAGGGTATGAATAGTATAATTTGTTACAAGCTTTTTAAAGCCTAAAAAACTATAATTTGAATGATTAGTGTCAGTAATTAAAACAAATAAACAAATGTCAAATAAAAATATCCACATCTGATCAACCTGAAGGAAATTATCTTTCATAAAAAACCTTACTTACTTTCATATCAGTTTGGTAATGCAAGTAAAAAATAAAATAATTGAATTGGGAAATTTTAGATCGATCACCCTATTTATTCAACTTAAGACCTTTTGATTTTTATTTATTCAGCTCATTACAAAATCATTTAAATAATAATAAAATTTAAAAGTTTGGAGGAAAAATTTGATGATTTGATATAACTTACAATCATTTCTTAATTTTGACATTTGAGTCAAAACCAAAAAAACTTTTATATGCAGATTGAGTCACTAAAGTTGTGAAAAGTTGGAAGAAGAAAACTAAATCATGTTGAATCATCTATCATGTGTTAAATATCATGATAGCTTTAATTTTAGATTATACATAAACCTCTGTAGTGACATCTATTGAAAATTTGCAAAAATTTTCTGCTCTATCCAATATGTTCAGTCAGTCAAATTATTGTTGCAGATCAAAGCAAAAAATTATTCATAAAGTGTCTGCAGTTAGTCACATCATATATAATACATTCCAACATAGAAAAATAACGTAATCAACCAAATTTTTTAGAAGAAGAAATTTTAATGCTGATGATATATATATATATATATATATATAATGATATAGTGACTGAACATAGAATTGTTTTAACTGAGAACCTTACATACCAGCTATCAATACTTGTGCTATCTGCTAGTACAGTGTATGGTGCAATCCAGATGAAAAATAGCCTTGATTGAAAATAAGGTGACTAGATTTTCAAAAAATAAAAGCTTTACATTACCTTCAATGTGATTAACAAAAAAAAAAAAAAATTGATTTATTTAACTGTGTCTACCATTAATTTATTTGATACATATTTTTCATTTGAGTGCATTCTCTTGTTATGTTCATCATTTTGACTTAATACATTTGAAAATTCTTCATAGTTATAATGACAGTTAAAATAAATCTTAATTATAACTGATAATGTTTCAACAGCCAATCTGGTTTTCTTCAAAACTTGTTTATTATTGTAAAAGCTTTTAACCGTGAGAAATTCAAGTTGAATTTTTTCAAATGATAAACACAGTATGGCTACAATAAGTATCTTCAAACATTTCAAGAAAATTTTTTTGTTAAAATGTTTATTTTTACTAATTGCACACATACTGTATTAGTTTGTTTCATTATATTCACATATTCAGTTTGTATATTTAGTTTCTATTCTGAACATAAATATTGACTCACTTAACGTTATTGAAACAATTTTTCATTATCCACAATAACATTATTATTGCTTTCCAATGCAAATGATGATCAATTTCTAAAATTAAAGCTATGCCTTGCAGAAATAAGAGAGAATTTATTTATTTATTTATTTTTCAGTTGTAAATTGTCTCAAACTAGTACATCTGGTGACTTTATTAAAAAGCAATGTATACATCTATCTTAGAAGCTTTCTATATTAAGTAAATAGACAATTTTCTGAATGAAGGAAGGAAAATTGAATGGAAGATTGAATAGAAAATTTAATAACACATTATCAGATAATTATTATTTAATTTTTAATGTGATATTAACCTATTCATTCAGTTTCAGAATACATTGAAAAAGCTACAATCATAATAATAATGCATTGTAACTTATTATGTTAAATAAACTTATACTAAGTAAATTTTAGAAATAATTTTCTTGTTTTTCTTCCAGAGTCAAGAAATGGCTGTCATAATGTTGTTAGAAAAAGTACAAAATGAAAAGTTTGTCAATATGTCTAACATAGATCTACAAACGTAAATAATTTTTTAATTTATACTTTTGTTTTATATATTAAAAATTAGTTATCATAAATAGTAAAATTATTTAATTTTACTATTTAAGTAAAATTTAATAATTTTATCATTGATAAAATTATTAAATTTTGTTTAATTACATTCCACTTGTTTTAAAATTTGAGAATTTTTTTAAGAAAAAAAGGAATATGATTCAGTTAAAGAAAATGGAAAAATAGCTGAAGTCCTATCTTAACAATATAAAAATTATAATATATTATAGTTGAATGCAAAATCAAACAACTATATCTATATTTTATTCAGTGAAGCTGAGATGAGCTTTTCTGAGTCAATTTAGATCAGTGATGAGCAAGCTTTTCTGGCTGTGGGTTGCAAGTGAATTTTGTAGACTTCAGGTAGACCACATGTATTCTTACTTATGGTGTTACAGGCTTTAAGTCTTCTGAGTATTCACATACTCCATAACTGCTATTATACTAGGTTCTAAAATAATATATGCTATGATATGCAAACTATTAATATATAGTTTATTCTCATTATTTCACTAGTGAAGTTTAGTTTGAATAATTATCACAAATATCAGCTTAATTAGGGTTGCATAATGACTTGAGGTGGAAAAATAAAATAAAATTGTTGTCACTGTCCTGGGACTGCATATTAAAACCTTATAGGCTTTGGACTGCTCATGATTGATTTAGATAATTGTTTATTGATGGTTAAGATTACATAATACTATATATGTTAAGCCTGTTCTAAATGAGTCAATGTGGTTGCTTTGATGTATGGACAGAAACTAGTTTTTATGCCATGTGACTGTTCGCTAGTCACCAAGTGAAAATATCCAACAAGTTGAATATGTTGTATACTTAAATATATAAATAAATATATTAATGGCACAATTTATTTTTTTAAATTTTAAAAAATATAAAATCTTTAAGGTTAAAAAAATTTAATCAACTGTTTGTTTTTTCATCCGCAACGGCATTTAATCAGAGACAAAGCCAATACTAAGGTATTTAGATGCTAGTATTTATTATTACCTAGTAGTAATAAATACTAGCATCTAATACCTATTGGCATACAACTAACTTAATTAATTGGCATACCTAACAAACCATGAATTCTCAGATGTAATTCCTCCAATGAAACCCAGTTGGTTTTGCTCCTGTAGTTACTGTTACTAGTATTGATGCTCTGCTGAAACTTCCTCAGGACTGTAAAAATATACCTGTGGTCACTTTCTGAAGGAGTCAACAGGATTTTGCAGCTTTCAACAAAGCTATCAAGGGCAGTGGAGGCAAAGCAGATATCAATCCAACCCTTAGCCCTAGTGGTGATAAAGACAGGGATGTCCATAGTGTTAAGGGAGATTACATAGTTTTCCCCTATGGTCTTCAACCTCGTGGAACCACAGGAGAGACTTTGCATTAAAAACATTAGCTACCACAAATCTTGTACTGTTTAGGGTGTGTAGCACTTCAAGTTCGTCCATGCAGTCCTTGTCCACCTCAAAAGGGGAAAAGTACATATGGGTTGGGTCTTGCTGGATTGCCACAGTTGTTATCCTTGTGGATCTTAATTCAGTGATCACAGGAGCATCTATATTCTTATTCCTTAGTACTACCCCACATTTTGGACAGTCAGTGATGTTGTTGCAAAGGATTTGCCAATTGCCGAAGTATGTTATTGCATTGTTTACTGTATATGGTTCCTGGACTAATATTATATCAATGTTCAAGCCATTGGCAGTTTTCATCACCAGATAGAAGGCTGCTTTCCCTCTCTAGGTATTGATTTGGAGAATCTTTAGATCTTCGACAGACATATCCATAAATGAAGTTGTGCAGATTTGAGAGATAGAGAACAGTAGGCCAGAGATCTATTTGTATATTGTCTGTTTTATAATTAGTTTTTTGTAATTCTTTAGTATTGGGCAGCTATTTGCAAATGCATTGTGTGTACATTTAAATTTGTTTCCACCTGAAAGTTTGTTGTTTGCTTTCATGCAGTTAGTATGTTTTTATTTGTTCTCTCTGTTGTGGCAGTCTATATGGTCAGCAATTATGTCTTTTACTGCAATGGCTACACCTTAGCCTTGAATCACAGTCCACTGCCTTGTGCCCAAAGCTGGTGCACTTGTAGCCCTTTAACACTGGTAAGTAGTCATCGACAAGCAAGATGCCCCATTCATAAATTAGTTGCTTTAAGCTGATCAGGGTATTTCTGATTGCTGTGTTGTACTTATGATTAAGTGTACTCTTTTATCTTTTCATCTTCTTGAGTTAATTTTCCCCTTTAACTTTATTTCTTTTTTGAAGGAGTTTTCCTCCAAGTATTTCTCCTTTATTTCCTTGCTTTGCTCATAAATTTTCTTTATTAATTCCTGTCTGTCTTCCTGCTGGGGAAAATTTAGTATGATCATTTTTGGTCTTCTTTTTATTGGTTTTAGGATTTTTACTTTTTCATGTATATCCAGAAGGGTTTCAATAGACTTTGGGTTTTTGTAGTCTTCTTCAGAACTTACATTAATTAATTAATCTTAACATATCTGCTAGATAAGGTTGAGGCTAGATGGATTAATTTTTTTCTGGAGTGTGTTCATCAATTTCTCAGGGCAAGGCTGTTCACTGTCACCAGAAGTGATAGGTGCAAGTACCAGCTCTGGCTGGTTGATGATTTTCTTCGTAACAGCCACAGTGTCAGAAATGAGTGAAATGGTGTGACTAGACCTACCACTCCTTCTCCCCAGCTTGGTGGTCAGGGCATAAGTAGGCTGAGTGGGTGGCTCTAGAGCTCTTAAAACTAACTATTCCATATAAGTGGTTGGCAGTAGCATGCATATTGAGTGGCATGCATATTGAGCATATATATGCATATTTTATGATTTTGTTTGGTGACTGACCCATACGAATTTGCAGGCAGTGTCTCTATAATAGTGTCCAGTCCATGAGAGATTATCTCAAGAATGTCTTTTCTGGGAAGTCCATATTAATTGATTATTATCTAACAAGCTGACAATATTCAAGGAGTGCCAGACAGACCACTGCAGAATACTTAATTAACACCAAACCACAAATGGTAGCATTGTATGAGGGTTGAAGAAGAAGATTTATATGACTAGAGAGAGAGAGAGAATATTCATGACATCATGTTGAAATTGATAGTATAAACAAGTTTGTGTTTAATCTTTAAAATAAATCTTGAAAAACTCAAACATTTACGTAAAATAAAAGAAACTGCAGGATAAAACTAAACAGAGTTAAATAAGAAGTTCTTAAGCAGCTACAAAACAAAAAAGTCAGGTTGTAAGGTTGTTGGTAAGTTGTTTGTAGAAACAAATATAAGACATTTATTGAAAATTTTTTTTGAATAAAAATATAAAGGAAATGGAAATACTTGAATAGAAATGTTAGAATTCACATTACACAAAGAATGACGTGAGAGGAAATATAATAGATAGAATTGATTAAAAATAAATAAATAAATAAATAAAATTAGACTTTTTAACATCCAGTATTTAACATAACATTTAGCATAAATAATAATTTGTATTTTAG